CCCCGGCTGCCGAGTGAAGGTAGCCAAGTGATGGCCCGTACGAGCACACGTGCAGTGTGTCACGCGCTTGTAGGCAGGGGTGAACTGGTGAACACCCCCGTCCTGGAGCGCACATCCTACCACCAAGTTCGTAGAGAACGAGGGGAGGTGGAGACCTGACAGTGTGCCCGACGGGTCTGCAGGACAAGGAAGGACAGTGGAAGAGGTCGCAATGACCGGACCCCTAGAGGGGTCAGCAAGGGAGAAAGCATTGGTCGAGCAAGCGGCTCAAGGGCAATGCGGTCACGAAAGAAGCAGCAAGAAGCACCTGAGTCCAGTGTGAAGGTTTGCAGTGCTGCAGTCGACTCAGTACCAGGGGGGGAAGACGCACAAGCACCTAGAGCAGCTACCTCACCAGCACCTGGGGTAGCCAACACGCGAGTACCTGGAGTGGCAGATACACTAGTCCTAACGCCCGGGTCGGGCGGCACACACAATTACTGAGCACCCTCTCCACTAGTAGACATCACATACATAGCAGATAGAATAGCATCAAAGTCTAGAGCATACATATCAATCCCCTTCTTCAAGAGATCAATCCAGCGGGGCAGCTTAGTGGCCTGAGGGAACTGAACACGCCAAGCATTGTCGAGACGAGCAAAGCAGTGCTTTGTGGGGTGCGGTCGTCCACACGGCTAACCAGTGCGGTCACAAGTGTAATTGACGTACGTGCAGCTAAGGCCACCCCCCCCCCCCCCCCCCCCCCCGCGTGGAGAGAGTACCACTCACGGACCTCCTGGGGCGACGGAGTGTGCTGCTGGCCCTGGCCAACGCCAGCGCCTCCACAACCACCACCGCCGCCGCCACCTCCTCGACCTCCGCAACCCCTGCCGCCGCCTCGTCCACGGCCACTCCAACCACCGCCTCCGCCCTTGCCATCTCCCCCGCCGCTGCCACCACCACCCCCACCGCTACCACTAGCCCCTCAAGTCGCGCCACCACCCCCACCGCCTCCACCGCCCCTACCACCACCTCCCCTCCATCACCGCCACCACCCTTGCCCCCTTTGCCCTTCCCGCTGCGGCACTCGCTCAAAGCAGACGTAGTACCGACCTTCTCAGCACCAAGGAGGTCGACAGCAGCAGCAGAGGCGACAGAGGGAAGAAGGGGGGAAGGAGAACACCCCTCAAAGAACGGGGTACGGGAGTCGCCACGAGAGGCACCTACAGCGACTATGCTAGTCTGAGCTGCAAGGAGTTCCTTCTCGAGGAGGGCAATGGTGAGCTCAGTGGGGCAGCGAGCTAGGAATTGGTCCCTGACTGCACGCAGTGTGTCAGGGAGGCGGGTAACTAGGTGGTAGAGAGTGAGCCAGAGTGGGGGGGGGTGCGTGGCAAGGAACTCTGCGGGCATGGCGGCACGGAAGCGGGCCTCACTAGTACAGAGGTGCGTGATGAGGTCAGCGACTGTGTGGAACGAGGCCAAGTCGGGAAACAGGTAGGGGAGGGAGAGACGGCCTAGCGCGGCAGAGGCAGGTGAGGAGTAGCGAACAACGACAGTTGTGTACAGTGCCTGTGCAGTCTTGTGCTGGCCAAAGTGCTCGCGTTCGTCTATCGGCAGGGAGTTGCGAATAGCGAAGCGAGCGTGGGCGTCACGAGTCTACCACTGTGAGCGGGCAGTGCTGTCAGTAGTAGCAGCAGGAGCAGTAGCATGGCCTAGGGTGTGATCGTACAGTGAGATGTCCTCCTTGGCAGTGAGCTGTAGGAAGAGGTGTAGGTCATCTAGCCAGGTATCGAACTTCACTTGGCAGGCCTCAACATCGAAAGCTAGCACAGGAGGGCTAGCCATAGCAACAGTAGAGTTGCAGTAGAGTTGAAGCAGTAGTAGGGTAGGAACAGGAACAGGAGCCGCTGCAGGTGGGGCACAGTAGGGAGGCGCAGTTCGGTTTGGGCGGTAAGCGAACTTAGGTGTGCGGGAAGCGTGCACAAGTGTGCGGGAAGCGAACTCGGGTGTGCGGTAAGCAAACACAGTTGTGCGGGAAGCGTGCACAAGTGTGCGGGAAGCGAACTCGGGTGATACGGAGCGGGTCGGGTCGGGTCGCGCGGCTCGGCTCGGGTCGCACGGCTCGGTTCGGTCCCGGTCTGTGGCGGTTTCTAGCCGCTCGGGGCTTCTAGGGACGGTGGGCGCGGGGCCAACGGGGCCGTTTGGGGCCTTAGGGAGGTGAGCGCGGGGCCGTTCGGGGCCTTAACGGGGCCTCTAAGGGCCGACGGGGCCGTTTGGGGCCGCTAGGAAGGTGAGCGCAGGGCCTTAATGGGGCCTATTAGGGGCCGACGCGGTCGTTTGGGGCCGCTAGGGAGGTAAGCGCGGGGCCGTCAAGGGGGCCTCTAAGGGCCGTCGGGGCCGTTCGGGGCCTGTAGGGAGGTGAGCGCGGGGCCGATGGGGCCGTAGGGGACCTCTAGGGAGGTGAGCGCGGGGCCGACGGGGCCGTTCCGGGCCTCTAGGGAGGTAAGCGCGGGGCCGACGAGGCCTCTAGGGGCGATCGCGGGGCCGAAAGGATGGGCGCTAGGGGCGAGCGCGTGGGCCGTTCGGGGCCTCTAGGGGCGGGCCGTTGGGGCCTTAGGTGGCCGTGAAAAACCGAAGCGCCCTAGGGCGCAGGTAGGTAGGTAGGTAGTGGTGGGCCCTTTAAAAAAAAAATCGGTCCTAGGAAGGACCTGCTCTATACCATGTTGGAATAACTGAACAGGAATGGATGAACTAACAGTGAAAACAGTACAAGTACCTAACCCTAGAATTGTGTATCCCCTATAGACTAACCCATTGTAGCCTAAACAAACACAACAACATATATAATGTTTGATAGGGGGTGATCAACAAGGAAGAGCTGGCGAAGGAGAAGGGGGAAGAGGAGAAAAAACGAGCTGCAGAGGTGAAGAAGGCGGAACGGGAAAAGGCAAAGGTGGCTGCTTCGAAACGTTAGACGTAGAAATCAGTGTTTAGGGATTCCTCATAGACGTTGAGTCCACTACGGTTTGGAATTTATGCCAAATTGGATAGGGATATTACTTTACGCTTCGGGGGGAAAGGTATTAAATGACTGTTATACATTTCTAGCATATGCCCCACAAACACTGTACTGTTTAGGTAAGAAGTGTTGAGTTTTATGCCTATGCGACAGTAGAATTCTACATCTAATATTTTCCAATTACTGCATGGATCGTTGGGTCATAGATGTGCGGTGTATTATTCGGCTATTACTTGTAGATGTGCGTTGAGGAAGCACACATAGTTACATAGCACCATGCATTTTTCCGCGAGTTCGTGCCGTATACGATTATAATCTACGGTTCGGCGTCGATGTATTCATTATCAGCATATGTTCCAGTGCAGAAGGGTTTGATATTCTACTCGTACCAACGAGTTCCCTATCCATGACATGTTCACATGCGTAGGGTTATCTTATGCGGTAGGATGCCGTACACGTTTTTTTTCCACCGCATTGTGCGCGGACGTATACGATCTTCTGCAGAGGCGGTTTTTCATTTTCTATAGGCCTTTCTAAAATTGTAGATGCTTGTTCTTAGGCCACTTGGTCGACTTATGCGTTGCTGATGAACCCGTAGATGTTATCCCTACGAGGGTTTTCTGCGGTATAGTGTCGTATCCGACTTGGATCGTCAATTCGGCGTCGATGAATTCAATCACCATGGCAGATGTGTCAGTGAATATGATTGTCGTATATGATTCGTGGCAAGGTGCTCCGTATGTCAAGATCTTATATGTAGGTTTAGCCCCTTCGTTCGAATGCCGGAGCCGTAGTCTATACAGTTGGCCGATGACGTCCTTGATTTTCTACGTATGCGGATCTCCAACTGTTTCGTGTCGTAAACCATATGTCTGTCAAACATTATATATGTTGTGCTTGTTTAGGCTACAGTGGGTTAGCCTATAGGGGGTACACAATTCTAGGGTTAGGTACTAATACTGATTTCACTGCTAGTTCAATCACTTTTTTCTTGTTCATTGATTCCAACATGGTATAGAGCAGGTCCTTCCTAGGACCGTTTTTTTTAAGGGCCCACCACTATCTACCTACCTACCTACCTACGCCCTAGCCCGCCTCTATTTTTGTTTTTTTTTTAACGGCCCCGTTGGCCCCGTGCTAGCCGCCCCTAGAGGCCCTCCTTACGGCCCCGCGATCGCCCCTAGAAGCCCCATTGGCCCCACGCTTACCTCCCTAGAGGCCCCGTACGGCCCCGCGATCGCCCCTAGAGGCCCCGTCGGCCCCGCGCCTGCCTCCCTAGAGGCCCTCCTTACGGCCCCGCGGTCGCCCCTAGAGGCCCCGTCGACCCCGCGCTTACCTCCCTAGCGGCCCCTTACGGCCCCGACCTCGCCCCTAGAGGCCCCGTCGGCCCCGCGCTTGCCTCCCTAGAGGCCCTCTACGGCCCCGCGCTCGCCCCTAGAGGCCTCGAAAGGCCCCGCACTCTCCCTTAACGGCCCCGACCAGCCCCACGCTCTCCCTTAACGGCCCCGATGGGCCCCGCGCTCGCCCCTAGAGGCCCCGATCGGCTCCGCGCTCGCCCCTAAGAACAGCGAACGGCCTCGCACTTGCCCTTCACGTCTCCTTACGGCCCCGCGCTCGGCCCTAACGGCCCCTTACCGCCCCGCGCTCGCCCTTCACGGCCCCTCACGGCCCCACGCTCGACCTTCACGGCGAGTACCATCGTGTCTGGGCTTACCATCGTGTCTGGGCTGTACCATCGTTAAGGGCTCAAACATCTTGTCGGGGCTGTACCATCGTTAAGGGCTCAAACATCGTGTCTGGGCTGTACCATCGTTAAGGGCTCAAACATCGTGTCTGGGCTGTACCATCGTAAAGGGCTAAAACATCGTGTCTGGGCTGAACCATCGTGTCTGGACTATAACATTGTGTCTCGGCTGAACCATCGTGTAGGGGCTATAGCATCGTGTCTCGGCTGAACCAAACCGACCGTCCTACCTGCAAGCCTACTCCTACTGCTGCTCCTATGGCTAGTCCTCCGGTGCTAGTTTTTGATGCTGAGGGCCGCCTAGTGAAGTTCGACACCTGGCTAGATGACCTGCACCTCTTCCTACAGCTCACTGCCAAGGAGGACATCTCACTGTACGATCACGCCCTAGGCCATACCCCTGCCCCTACTACTACTGCTGACAGCACTGCCCGCTCACAATGGCAGACTCGTGACGCCCGCTCTTGCTTTGCTATTCGCAACTCCCTGCCGATAGATGAGCGTGAGCACTTCGGCCAGCACAAGACTGCCCAGGCACTGTACACTGCTGTCGTTGCCCGCTACTCCTCACCTGCCTCTGCTGCACTAGGCCGTCTCTCACTCCCCTACTTGTTCCCCGACCTCGCCTCGTTCCACACAGTCGCTGACCTCATCACGCACCTCCGTACTAGTGAGGCCCGCTTCCGTGCCGCCATGCCTGATGAGTTTCTTGCCACGAACCCCCCCCCCCCCCCCCCCCGCTCTGGCTCACTCTCTACCACCTAGTCACCCGCCTCCCTGACTCTCTGCGTGCAGTCAAGGACCACTTCCTAGCTCGCTGCCCCACTGAGCTCACCATTTCCCTCCTCGAGAAGGAACTCCTTGCAGCTTAGACTAGCATAGTCGCTATAGGTGCCTCTCGCGGCGACCCTCGTACCCCATTCTTTGAGGGGTGTTCTCCTTCCCCCATTCTTCCCTCTGTCGTCTCTGCTGCTGCTGTCGATCTCCTTGGTGCTCTGAAGGTCAGTACTATGGCTGCTTCAAGTGGGCGCCGCAGCGGCAAGGGCAAAGGGGGCAAGGGCGGTGGCGGTGACGGCGGGGGAGGCGGTGGTGGGGGTGGTGGCGGCGGTGGGGGTGGTGGCGGCGGTGGGGGTGGTGGCGCGACTAGAGGGACTAGTGGCGGAGGTGGGGGTGGTGGCGGTAGCGGCGGGGGAGGTGGCGGGGGCGGAGGCGGTGGTGGGGGTGGCGGTGGACGCGGCGGCGACAGCGGTTGGGGTGGTCGAGGAGGTGGCGGCGGAGTTGGCAGTCGTGGGGGCGCTGGCGGTGGTCAGGGCCAGCGACACACTCCATCGCCCCAGGAGGTCCGTGAGTGGTACTCTCAGCACGGAGGGGGGGGTGGCTCTAGCTGCACGTATGTCATTCCCACTGGTGACCGCATTGGTCAGCAGTGTGAGGGACCGCTCGCCACGCAGCGCTGCTTCGCTCGCTGCAACGACACTTCGCGTGTTCAGTTCCCTCAGGCCACTAAGCTGCCCCGCTGGATTGATCTCCTGAAGAAGTGGATTGATATCTATGCTCTAGACTTTGATGCTATTCTCACTGCTACGTATGTGATGTCTACTAGTGGAGAGGGTGCTGAGTACCTGTGTGTGCCGCCCGACCCGGGCATTAGGACTAGTGCGTCTGCCACTCCAGGTACTCGCGTGTCTGCTACCCCAGGTGTTGGTGAGGCAGCTGCTCTAGGTGCTTGTGCGTCTGCCCCTCCTGCTACTCAGTCTACTGCAGCACTGCACACCTTCACACTGGACTCAGGTGCTACTCGCTGCTTCTTTCGTGACCGCACTGTCCTTGAGCCGCTTGCTCGGCCAGTTGCTGTCTCCCTCGCAGACCCCTCTGGGGGTCCGGTCATTGCGACCTCCTCCACTGCCCTTCCCTGTCCTGCGGTCCCGTCGAGCACACTGTCAGGTCTCCACCTCCCCTCTTTCTCTACGAACCTGGTGGCAGGATGTGCGCTCCAGGACGGGGGTGTTCACCAGTTCACCCCTGCCTACGAGCGCGTGACACACTGCACGTGTGCTCGTACGGGCCATCACTTGGCTACCTTCACTCGGCAGCCGGGGTCGGACCTGTACACACTGACCACTAAGTCCCCTCAGGTCGTTGTGTCTGCGTCTGCGTCTGCGTCAGGTAAGCTGTCGGCCCCCTACTCGCGTCGCTCTTTAGCTCACAAGACTGTCCTCTGGCACCACCGACTTGGCCACCCGTCTGTGCAGCGGCTTCGTGCCATGCACTCCCGGTACCTTGTCTCTGGCCTTCCCAGGGTCCTTCCTCCCCTCCCTCCCTCACTTGCTCCTCCCTGTCTTCCCAGTGTCGACGGGCGGCAGCGCGCTGCTCCTCACTCCTCGTTTCCCCCGACGACTGCTCCCTTGCAGACGCTCCACATGGACGTGTGGGGCCCAGCCCGCGTCCATGGTCAGGGTCAGGAGAGGTACTTCCCGATAGTTGTTGACGACTACTCGCGCTACACTACGGTCTTCCCCTTGCGCACCAAGGGTGAGGTCCCTGATGTCTTGATCCCTTGGATCCGCAGAGCCTATCTCCAGCTCAGCGAGCGCTTTTACTCGGACTTTCCTGTCCTGCGCTTGCACTCTGAAAGAGGTGGTGAGTGTGAGAATAAACGAACAGGGATGAAAATGACTAAGGAAAGATGGGTACAAATACAACCCTAGAAACCCTGTACCCCATATGTGCTACCCCACTATAGCCTACAACAACTATGTCATATAAATCTGACACACCCCCATAGGCAAAGTGGGGAAGAACAAGGGGTCACAAGACCAGTCAAGCAAAGCAAAGCAAGCTCAGGGTGGATCACAAAGTCACCACACAGTCCGAGCACAAGAATAGGGCCAGAGGCCAGTTCACATGCAGGAGTACAGACATATATATAAAACTAGACAAACAAGAGCAGGCATATATATATGTCTCAGTACAAGTGAAGTCAAGAGGAGAGCAAGTGAGGCAAGACAGGCACAAGACCCAGCTGGGTGCAAAAGCGCTGATGGTCACAAGGCGCGAGTGCCTTGGTGAACACATCAGCAGTGTTGGCCTCAGAGGCCACGTACGCAAGTCGCAACTGACCACGCTGCTGCAGCTCACAAGCAAGGAAGTAGCGGAGAGCAATGTGCTTCGTTCTGTGCTCCAAGCGCTGCTCTCGACACAAGGCCAGCATAGCCTTGTTGTCTACGTACAGCACTGGAGGAGAACGAGGCGGCTCTCCAAGGTCAGTCAGCAGGTAGGTGAGCCAGCGAAGCTCCTGTGCAGCCATGGCCCCGGCGTAGATCTCAGCCTCACAACTGGAGCCGAGAACCGAAGACGAGCGAGTAGACCGCCACGAGACAGAGCCGGAACCAAGGCTGAAGGTGTAACCCTGTGACGACCGCTGCGTAGCCTGGTCGTCAGCCCAAGAAGCGTCCGCGTGGCCGGTAAGGACCACTGGACTCCGCCCTCCAAGCACTAGCCCCATGCCCGACGTGCTGCACAGGTAGCGCAATACCCTCTTCGCTGCAGCCATGTGCTCCGGTCTGTGTCTCCCAGGAGCAACATAGCGTGCAAGAATGCTCAGAGGGTATGCAAGGTCAGGTCGTGTGCAGGTCATCAGGTACATGAGGCAGCCAACAAGCTCTGCATACGGACCACTCGACTCTACGGACTCATCCGAAGGCAGAGCTGAGAGTGAGTGGCGAGTAGGTAGAGGAGTGGCCTGAGGCGAGGAGTACGTGAAGCCGAAGCGCTGAAGGACCTGCTGCACCATGTGTGACTGAGTCAAGGTAATGGTGCGGCGTGCTCTGTCCCGAGTGATCTGCAAGCCAAGGTAGCTGCGCAGTTCACCAAGGTCTGTGCACGTGTGTCTCTTCAGCAGCTCGGACTTCACGTAGGCGAGTCCAGCAGTGTCCGCTGTGGCAAAGACCAAGTCGTCGACGTACACGAGGATGTAGAACGGCGGCAGCGAGGTGTTGGTGCGCAGAAACAGCGACGGGTCAGCAGTAGAAGGAGCAAACCCAAGAGCCGCAAGCGTAGTCCTCAGTGTGTCGTGCCACTCACGCGGTGCCTGGCGGAGACCGTAGACTGGCCGTCTGAGGCTCCACTGGGTGCCAGGAGGGAAAGTCCCAGTGAAGCCAGGTGGACGGCGCAGCCAGATCTCCTCGTGCAGGCTACCCTGCAGGAACGCAGTGCTGAAGTCAAGAGAGTGAAGCTCGTAGTCGCGCTGAGCGGCTATGTGCAGCAGCACCCGAAGAGTGGTCATCTTCGGGGTGGGAGAGAAGGTCTGAAAGTAGTCAACTCCCTGCCGCTGACTGAAGCCACGAGCAACGTACCGCGCCTTGAAGACAGGTGGAGAGCCCGGCGGCCGCTTCACCCTGAAGATCCACATGCCACTGACGATGTTCGCCCCAGGAGGGGGAACTGCGTCAACGTAGGTGCCTGTGGACTTCCAGGAAGCCATCTCTGCATCCATAGCTGCCTGCCACTGAGAGGAGTAGGGACCCTCTACGGCCTCCGCGTAAGAACGCGGAGTCGGGATGTCTAATGCATCCGGGTCTCCCTCAGGGGCAAGTAGTACAGACGCGAGATGAGGTGAAGCAGCCGCTAGACACTGTAACTCCTCCTGTCTGTCCTCTAGGACGTCCGTGCCAAGAGCACACTCACCCCCGACGGACGGAGGACAGACAGACGCAGACTCAGCAACAAGACCAGCAGCGTAGTCGAGACGACAGCGAGCAGCAAAGTCAACGAGCTCAGCGACTAGAGCAGACGCAGCAGTGGACTCAAAAGAGGGGTCAGTGACGACAGTAGCAAGCAGACGCGTGACAGTAGGACTGGCAGCGCGAAGAGAGTCTGACTCAGGGTCGGCAAGCGCAGGAAGAGAGGACTCAGGAGGAGAAGGCAGAGGGGCACGCAGAGGAGCAGTGGACGGACGCAGAGACATCCGGTGCGTGCCAGGGACAGGAGGAGGACGCTGACGCGAACCGCGACCACTAGCGCGAGCAGCACGAACAGGCGACGCGGGACGAGACGCAGGCTCACGACGCTCAGCAAGACCTCCAGTAGGACCAGTGTAAGGAGAGGGAGCAGGCAGAGGAGAGGAAGGCTCCAACAGTGACTGCGACTGGACAGGCTGTGGACACTCTACCGAAGGAGAAAGACCAAGAACCTGCTGTAGGAGCGGAACGAAGTACGGCCGAGGCCGCGCGGCAGCTCCAGACTCAGCAGGGACAGCACCAGCACCCTCAGCGACAGCACCAGCGCCACCCACACCTCCAGCGGCAGGACCAACAGCAGTAGGCTCAGCACCAACGCCCTCAGCACCTCCAGCTGCAGGAGGACCCTCAGGTCCAGCAGCTCCGGGACCGGCAGCACCCGCACCCTCGACGGTCGAAGAAGCTCCAGCTCCAGCTCCAGCAGCACCTCCAGACTCAGCAGCACGCCTCCAGCGGCGAGCGTACCACTCGCGCAGCTCCTGTGGAGAGAGGGGCTCCCGGCGAGACGCAGCAGCAGGAGAAACCCCAGGTTCAGCAGCTCCAGACGCAGCACCCCCAGGCTCAGCAGCTCCCAGCTCAGCACCCCCAGGCTCAGCAGCTCCCGACCCAGCACCCCCAGACCCAGTACCTCCAGGCACAGCACCCCCCGGCTCAGCACCCCCAGGCTCCGCACCCACCGCAGTAGCACCCTCAGGCCCAGCACCCCCAGCAGTAGCACCCCCAGGCTCAGCACCCCCGCGCACAGTACCCCCAGAGTCAGCACCCCCAGGCTCAGCACCCGCAGCAGCACCAGAGTCACCAGTAACCTCGACCGGGTCAACGGCGTCTACCTGGGACACACCTGAGGGGGCAGGAACCTGAGGGGGGAGGGGGTCTACCGGGGGGGGAACCGGCACAAGGAAGTCCGGGGGAGGGGGGAGGGAAGGAGTGCGGTAGGGGAAGAGACGGTAGAAGGGGACTGACTCATCGAACGTGACGTCCTGGGAGGACAGAACACGACGAGAGAAGGGGTGGTAAAACTGCCACCCTGGGGCGTCAGTGGGGAAGCCAAGGAAGACACAGGGAGCAGCACGAGGGGACAGCTTGTCCGCAGACAAGTCGCGGACAAACGCCCGAGATCCCCAGACACGGAACACAGACGCATCGCCAACCTTCCCCGTCCACAGCAAGACTGGGGACATCGCAGGCCGAGAGACCCGGGGGTGAAGGTTGAGCTGATGCGCCGCGTACCTCACCGCAAACGGCCACAGAAAATGGGGGGCAGCCGCATGCATCATGGACGTACGAGCGACATCCATGACCATGCCAATGCGGCGCTCAGCAATCCCATTTTGCTGTGGTGAGTCCGGAAGCGTGAAGGTCTGGCGGATCCCCCGTGCACGACAGTAGTCTCGCAGAAGGCGGGAAGAGAACTCTCCGCCTCTGTCAGAGTGCAGACGCAGAACAGGAAAGTCCGAGCCGAAGCTCTTCCTGAGCTGGAGACGAGCCTCGCGGATCCAGTCGATCAGCACCACAGTGACCTCACCCTTGCTGCGCAAGGGGAAGACTGTGGTGTAACGCGAGTAGTCGTCAACCACCAACAGGAAGTAGTGCTCGTAACCCTGCCCACGGACGGGGGCTGGGCCCCACACATCCATGTGAAGCGTCTGCAGGGGAGCCTCTGTCGGGGGGAAGTGGGAGGAGTGAGGAGTAGCCCGGAGGCGACCCTCGACACAAGGGACACAGGAAGGTCCTGGCCCGGAGGGGAGAGGAGGGAGAGACTGGGGAAGACCAGAGACAAGGACACGGGAAGCCATGCTCCGAAGACGGGGCAAGGAGGGGTGGCCAAGACGGTGGTGCCACAGGAGAGTCTCGTGAGACAGGAGGCGACAAGTACAGGGGGCAGACTCAGGACCAGACCTGGACGCAGCAGCAAACACCTGACCCGACGCTGCTACCTGACCGGACGCGGGGACAGGAGGAGACTCAGTGGTCAGGGTGTAGAGGCTCGACCCCGGCCGACGCGAGAACGTGGCCAGGTGCCGGCCTGTGCGTGCGTCCGTGCAGTGGGTCACCCGCTGACTCGCAGGAGTGAACTGGTGAACCCCCGCATCCTGTAGGTCTGCACCACTCACCAAGTTCGTCGAGAACGAGGGGAGGTACAGGCCAGACAGGGTGCCCGAGGGGGCAGCCGGACACGGGAGGACAGTGGAGAAGTGAGCGAGGACAGGACCCCCAGAGGGGTCAGCCAGGGAGACTGCAACCGGCCGACCAAGCGGCGTGAGTGTGGTGCGGTCCCGAAAGAAGGAGCGAGAAGCCCCAGAGTCAAGTGTAAAGGTGAGGGAGGCCGAAGCCAACGCGGTACCTGAGAGCGCAGCCTCACCCGCACCTGAGGAAGCAGACTCACTAGCACCTAGAGCAGCAGCCGTACCTGTACCTGGAGCAGGAGACTCACTAGCACCCAGAGCAGCAGCCTCACCAGTA